CAAATCCCACCCCAAAAACCCCAACCAAACACAGGGTAAATGGTCTCACGACTCAAGTGCTGGTGCACTCAAACCTCTTCCTGTTACCAAAGCTAGGATTATCAAAAATCTTGAACAAAGCTCAATCGGCCCATTGAGTATCACAATCCTTATTTCACTAGACATTTCAGTTCATACTCACTATAACATCGTATATGAAATATCATGCCTATTCAGAAAATCAACTATCATAAGAGGACATATGCACCCAGAAGATAATGGTATATTTGGAATGTGAAGTGTGTGGACTGAGATAAAGAAGTAAAAATCAAATTACTAAATGTGTGGATTGAGAAAAAATGTACACAAAGATAATTTGGTGTGTGAAAATAGAATTTCCCGTATTTTAATCAAACCTCAGGAGATATATTTATAATTTACCTTTTTTAAATTACACGATCTCTTTTAAAGTTTAAATAGAATACAGTAAATTCTATGATTTTAACATAATTTTATTTAGTATTTTTTTAATATTTTAATTCATATAACATTTATTTCTTTTTTTACCGATATCTTATTTGTTATATGAATGAAAAAAAATGATATTGTCATATATTTTAAACAAAAATGTATAATTTATGTTGTTTATTTTTGTATTTTTACATCATCTAATTTAGTTTTGATTTATTTAATCTTATTAAAAGAAGGATTAATATAATTATATTAAAATTATGAGACTTATTATATCTTTTCTAAATCTCAACAAATGTCAATGTAATTTATTCTTATTTTTTTGTATTTTAATGTTTTTCGATTGCTTTGAGATTGCATCTTTCAGATGGAACAGTAAAACATCACAGGTCATATAAGTGCAAGAAATGACATTTTAGCCCCAAAAATATATCTTTCTTTTATATACAATAAATTTTATAAATATAATTATGCTAAATTAGTTGTAAATTAGAATGATTAAAATTCATACCAGAAGTGTGAAAATACATGAATAATTAAAAAACTTAATTAATATGACTAATGGAAATGAGATAAGTATTTACATTAATTAAGATCTCAAAAGAGCACAACATAATTATGTCAAATTTACAAAATTCAATGTATAGTGTAATTTAAAACCCTTTTATAACTATGGCTAATAAGATTTTTTTTTGGGGGGGGGGGGGGGGGTTTTTGCTGTCAAACAAAATTTTGAATTGAAAGATTGAGAGATTATTCCTTCGAATTGTGTTGAAGTTGCTCAAACTTAACTTGCAACCCAGTGGTAAACCCCATTAATGGCCATCATTTAGTGCAATTTATTAGAAGTTAAAAGTTGATTATCATAAAGTAGAAGCTAAAAACACATCTCCTCGAGCTTCCAGATAATCAACTTTTTATTTTTGCCTAATAAGCTATTAAGTTGTACTAAAACAATCTGATGTATACTCTAAAATTAAAATAAACTACAATCACATTTTTTAAGTCGTAAATATATTACTTAAATAAAAGAGACGACGTCGAAGAGAGATGAAAATCGATGAACCAATGTGTTGTTAGGTTGTTTTGGGAAGTTGGTTAAAAGTTGACTTTTTTATTTTTTATTTTTTACTTTTTTGAAAAACCGTGTAAAAAAATAAAAGGATGATGTGATCCCAAAAAGCCAAAAAACTAAAAAATTAATTTTTAACTAGCTTGCCAAAATAAGCCAAAAAGAGAAACCATTTTTGAGTGAAAAAATTAAGAAGTGAGATTTTGTATTATTTTAATCGTGTCAATGTTATGTTGTGAATATGATCTAACGGTCCATGTTATTTTAACATATTAAACTTACACATCAAAATACAAACTGAGCTATCCTATCATATGGTGTTTATGTAAATTTATTGTACTTAGCCCCTTCCAAATTAATCTAACCATAGTGTTTGGGCTATTTTGGAAAGATAGTTATAATCAGCTTTTTGTGAGAGAAGGAAGTGGGTTATAATCTGGAAAGTGGATTATAACCCACTTCCCAAAAGACCCCCTAGGAATAATATGGTAATATCAATTTTGCATATGAATTGTTTTTGTATATGCACATCACCACTCATTCTTATCACGAATTTAACAATTTGATTGTATTTATCATTTTAATCTTTGTCCATCTTTTATGTATGAAAAATTTTAAATTTCATCTAGTTTTTCTATGCTTCAAGTTTTTTCTTTTTTGGTATTGTAAATCAAAGTATTATATTGCAGCGGGAAAAAAAAATATCAGAATCATACCTTGTAGCGAAGAACCTCGTGGGTAAATCACGTGCTTCCAAAATCTGAAGAACCAATCCAGCAGTGGAGTGATACTACAAAATGAGTATCACCCACACAAGTCACAGTACAAAATGGCTTGATCGTTGTTTTGTGGGAGAGAGTCGGACAGAGAGTATGGGAAAAAAGGTTATGGGTATAAACCACATAACGTATATCTAATATATGTATCTGATCTATTAAATATATTATATAAAATATATAATCAGATATAACAACCAATATCTATCTATCCATCTATCTATATCTATTGATATGATAGATATAGATATCCTAGATATAGATATCCTGAGTGGTTATCCAAATAAGTTTTGAATTTAAATTCAAAGTTACATAGATAAGGTTCAAAAGGTTCAGGTTCAAAAAGTTCAAAAGGTCATGTCACATGTACGCCCAATTTCTAAAAGGTATTTATTGTAAAGACACATAACTGAATCGTGTTATTTTTGTTGTTAACATCTTATAACATTCACTAATATTGACATATTACATTTGAATAAAATTTCAAGATCACTAAGGTATAGACATTAAATTGCAAGAAGTTGTTATAACCCACGTCATAATGCAGCACTATTCCTTTCTCCACCTTCTAGAATGTTTTTTTTGGCAACCAAACAAAAACGTGAAACTTTGCTTTCCTTTGGGTTTGTCTTGGAATAGGGTTATTTTGGAAAATTGGTTTAAAATTAATTTTTTAAATTTTATTTTATTTTATTTTATTTTTAAAAAATGTGTAAAAGAATAAAAAAAATAATGTAATTCAAAATAAATTAAAAGTTAAAATTTAATTTTAACCATGTTTTCTATTTGACCTTAAAGTAAACATTACAAGAAATAACACTTTTGTAGACCAAAAAATTAGTCGCTAAAAGCTCATTTTTAGTCGGCAAAAGTTATCCGCGACCAAATTTTTTAGTCGCTACTTTGGTCGCCAATTGAGGGTCGGCAAAAGTAATTCGCGACCAAAATTTTGATTGGTCGGGAAAAATTAGATTTGCCGACTAAATTTTTGGTCGCTAAATATGTCATTACTGCGACTAATCCATTTTGTCGCTAAAACACTTTGGTCGCAAAAAGTTATATTTTTTTGACCAAATATCTTAGTTGCCAATTGTCATATTTCACGACCAAAAAGTTTGGTCGCCAATTGCAACATTCTATGACTTCTTAATTTGGTCGCCAATTGTCACATTCTACGACCAAAATAATTAGTCGTCAATTGTCACATTCCACAACCAAATTGTTTGGTCCCCAATTGTCACATTTCATGACCAAACATGTTTGTCGCCAAAAAAAATGTTTGCACAACTAAAACTTTAGTCGACAATAGACCTATTCGCGACCAAATCCTTTGGTTGCCAAAATTAATAATTTTAACGACTAATTATTTAGTCGCCAAATGTGCTTAGTGATACACTGACTACTTTATTTAATCGGCAAAAGTATAACTTATCTTTCTCGACTAATCAATTGGTCGCCAAAACTAGAAAAACAAAACCAAAACCAAAATTTAATCGCTAACATCCAACAAAATAAACCTATAATTTATAATAATTCATCAAATTTATTCAATATAATATGTAATTTGCAAAAATCATTCAAACCAACAAATAAATTGAATCATGAACATTCAACAAAATACATATATCAATCATTTCTGAACCTGTTTAATTAAAGTTGGCAACTATTATAAGTTTTCATCCACAAGTAATTCCAAACTACATATTTCATGTAACATAAAAATTTAAAACATAACAAGTACTTATTATGATGTTTTAAATTTTTATCCATGTGCATCAACCCAAAAATATAACTGCTACTCTACCCTAATATTTTCCATATACATCTATACAAAAATATATAATCCTTCCAAAAATACAAAAAATGCCAATCTGTTCTGTACAATTTAGCTTTGTCCACGAATGCATCCATTTGTACCAAAGAAAAAGAGAAATAATGTCAGGTAAAATTGAACAAATAATGAAAATGTCAATGAAAAGTTAAGGTCACATTAGCAAATTAAACGACTATCATTATCAAATTGTTACATTAAACAACATCATTCTTATGTCTATAGCATTACCACTTTGGTATTTCATTGTTTAGTTTTTTGAACGAACTTAAATGTAATTCAAAGAAGAACAAGTCAAATATAATTAAATAAAACAACAATTCACAATAAAATGCAATGGACTTCTCAACTAGCAAATATAAACTATGCATATTGGCATACGAGAGTGTCTAACCATACTGAAGGGGAAAATTAAAGAGGAATTCAAACGGTTCATCTATTTGTACCAAAGAAAAAGAGAAATTACATTAGGTAATTTTTTTATGAAAATATTTGCACATCACATTATTGTAAAATTGGACAAAAAATGAAACATGTCCATGGAAAGTAAAGGTAACATAAACAAATTAATAGACTATCATTACCATTTTGTAAATAAAACAACAGCATTCATATGTATATATCCAATAAACATTACAATTCTAACTATTGGTCCACAATTTGCCAATATTGACCTATGCTTCAACAATGGAAACTGAGTTAAAATTTGGAGCTATTTGTTTTCATAATTTAGTTGTAGTTTTATATTCTTTGTACTACTATATTTTGGTCCAAAGGTTTTTTTTTTTTTCCTCTTGTTTTTTTTCCCCTTGGTCCAAAGCTTAAAGAATTAATGGAAGTGTCTCACATGTAAAATTGTTCTAGACTTACATCCATGTAGAGGCAGTGCAATGGCAGAAGGCTTCAGTACATCAGCATAATCAACAAGTTGATGGTGGCTTCACCGAGGATGGCAGATTGTGAAGAACCCTGATGCCAATTCAATTCAAGATATCATAAAGTTAATCACTATGGGATAATGTGCGTAATAAGTGCAGAAAAATACAAGAGGCATCAATGTATCAAGTACTGATAACTAGCAGTACAGAAAAATATACTTATAAACATAAGAATCAAAGTGAAGAATTAGTGAAGAATAAGAATCAATTTGAACTGTTTACTACTTCCACATTATATGGCATATTGGACAAGTTTGTTTATTCCTATCGGGAAGAGTCAAGACAAAAGATGGTCACATTACTTTCTTCCAATAGAATCCCCTTAGCCTTCTCACATAACACCCTAACCTACAACAGAGGAAGAAGATGTCAATGGAGAACCCTTTTCCATTACACTGAAACAGAAAGGTATCCATTAAAAACTGTGAGAATAAGAAATAACCCACCTTAGGCAGTTGATCTTTCATATTTGATTTTGGGTACTCGGCAAATGTTGCTGAGCAGACCTCACACAACAGATCCTTGTTGAAACACGTTAGGTCTCCAACCAAAAATAAAGTACATTTACTCAGATTTGTCACAAGAATCCTGTGCAACTTCTCATGTGCACTTGCATCCAAAACCCTATAACATTTTAAAAGTATAGAACTCCATCAATAATTAATTTCGTCACATTTCAAAAACAAGCGATCGGACTTTAGCTGCTCAACATGAAACCCATTACAGTTTTAAGCAATTAACCAACTGGGAAGCATCATGCCCAATGTACCTACAAAACCCGAGTCCGGATCCTCTCCTTGAGGCCCTCTCCTTCATTTCCTACTAGCAACGGCACAGATGAGCCGTTGGACATCCAACGGTTCAGATTTTAAAAAAAAAAAACAAAAACAAAAACAAAAATGAAATTTCAAACGTTCCCGCCCAAACAGACTCAGCCAAACCCAAAGCTGTATAGGTTATACACACACTCCTTCTCCTCCACAGAACCCACCTTCACCAGCGACCTACTCCTGACGGCAACCCTAGCTTGACGGCGACCCACTCCCGACGCCGACGACCCACTCGTGAAACCCAACCCAACCGATTGAGGTGAATCTTTTATCTATCTGCTTCGCAAACACACAGCTTTCACGCTCGTCTCCTACACCTCACTGAACCCGTCTCACTGGCGACCCTGTCGACGGCGAGCCACTCCCCAAACCTAACCCATTGCTTTGCCCTCATTCTCTCTACCCTCATTGGGGAGTCTTTCTTGCTGCTGAAATGGGTGCAGAGATAAAAGAGCTTGAACACTGTCTGAAACTACTGATCTCAGCCGTTGCAGCCCTTCTCCACGGATCTGAAAGGCGAGAGTGTTGAACACTGTCTTTGCAAAGGCAGAGGTCTTGCGGGCAGAAATGGGGTTGAACACTGTCTGAAACTGCTGTCCATCTGTTGCTGCTGCTGTACATCTGTTGCGAACATAAAAGAGCTTGAATTTGTTCATGTTTTTGTGTTAACATGTATGAGGGTTAAATGTTTGCTGAAATTGTTTTTTGTTTATAGTTGCTGAAATTGGGCTGAAATGTGTGTTATGGCTTGTATTCACACTGAAATTGTACTGAATTTGTTGTTTATAAATGCCGAATTCTTGTTGCAACATATATGACTGTTCAATTCTTGTTGCACCAGTGCTAGTTAAGGTGGTTGTGTGTTCAATTTTTGTTAGTTTCTATTGATACATTTTTTTAGCTTTTCTTGATATTCTGCAAATGATTTTCTTGTAGAATATGTGAGTGTGATGTTCCATTTTCTTGCTGAGAATTTGAAACGGGAAAAGTAAAAAAAACCAAAGAAACAAGGAAAAACAGAGCAAAAGAAAATAAACCCACTTTTTTTGCTTTTTTTTTTTTTCTTTTTCCTTTCTCTGTTGTGAGTGGTTCGAACAATCAATTGGATCAATTGGCAGTGTATATTTTTTCTTCTAATTCTCTTTGATCACTAATCAAAATGGACAAAATGATTAATCAAGTTCTGTATTTAGTTCTCAATTGTGGAAATGACACTAAATTAACCAAGTTCTGTATTTAGTTCTAATTCTCCTTGATCACTAATCAAAATGGACAAATTGATTACAATTTCCAACTCATTTGGTGTATGAAAAACACCATCTCAGAAACATTTCTTCATTCAATTGAATTCACTGAGAGCTGGACATTTCTCCTTCAACACCCTTTCCCTTGCCTTAGTTGCCTACACCATCATCATATGCAAATGTCAATTTCTACGTTTAGCTTAACAACCCAAGAGATGTTTCACTTATATCACAATATCTCACCATTCCATTTTTACTTTCCCAAAAAATACAGCAACCAAAGTCAGTGCAAATGAAGAAGACTGCAAATAAGGAGTTTAATCAAAGAAGAAGACTGCAAATAAGGATTTTTACAAAGAACTCTTCTCCAGAAATTACCAGACTCATCCTCTTCCTCCTATATAAATCCCTTGCTCCTCCTCAACTCGTCAATCGAATCAAACTCAATCTTAATCAATCTTCTCAATCTCGATTACAGACTCTTCACTTGAAGAAAAAATAATTATCAGAAATGGCAATGATTCCAAGCATCTTCGGAGGCCGACGAGGCAACATCTTCGACCCATTCTCTCTCGACATCTGGGACCCCTTCGAGGGCTTCCCCTTCTCCACCACTCCTCCATTTCTGCCAGTAACTGATCTCAGCAGTTTCAGACCACTGCCTTTGCAGTTTCAGACGTTCCCGCTCGTCGGGAGTAGGTCGCTGGTGAAGGTGGGTTCTGTGAAGGAGAAGAAGTGCGTGTATAACCTATACAGCTTTGGGTTTGGCTGAGTTTGTTTGGGCGGGAACGTTTGAAATTTCATTTTTTGTTTTGTTTTTTTTTTTTAATCTGAACCGTTGAATGTCCAACGGCTCATCTGTGCCGTTGCCAGTAGGGAAATGAAGGAGAGGGCCTCAAGGAGAGGATCCGGACTCACAAAACCCATATATATTTACATCTATTTCCATTATATTATATAAAGCCTATACTTGAGTTCACCTTGTCTCTCGGCTTTTTTTCTTCAACAATGCCCTTCATATTCAATAACTACCTCATCCAATAACTGCTTTATCAAACTATCCATAATTGTTAAAAAGTTTCATCGTTGATCAAATCACACCTCAATGGACAAACAATCCAAGCATACAATTGTGAAATTGCAAACACATGGCTTGAACGCATTACTAGTGTGTGTGTATATATTTATCTTCTATCTATCTATACTATTATAAAACAAACAGCCACGATAGTGTTGACAAAGCCGGCTCACGCTATAATTGCTTGGAACAGATTCTGACCCTATTTAACTGTTTCAATTCGTAATTGTCAATCTAATTATTTCACTCGCGCACAAGTAGTGTGTGCCGACACTAGTGTGTGTGTGTGTATATATATATATATATATATAGAGAGAGAGAGAGAGAGAAAAGCGCACCTGAACCATGTATCCATAATTGTTAAAAAGTTTTCAATGAAAACTTTTCATCGTTGATCAAATCACACCTCAATGGACAAACAATCCAAGCATACAATTGTGAAATTGCAAACACATGGCTTGAACGCATTACTAGTATGTGTGTATATATTTATCTTCTATCTATCTATACTATTATAAAACAAACAGCCACGATAGTGTTGACAAAGCCGGCTCACGCTATAATTGCTTGGAACAGATTCTGACCCTATTTAACTGTTTCAATTCGTAATTGTCAATCTAATTATTTCACTCGCGCACAAGTAGTGTGTGCCGACACTAGTGTGTGTGTGTGTATATATATATATATATATATAGAGAGAGAGAGAGAGAGAGAAGCACACCTGAACCATGGTGAGACCTCATCCACCAAAGTGAGTACCCTCCGGTAATGTCCTTCCTCTTTGCTTTGCTTCATAGAAACACACTTCACAAGCGTCACAACAATCTCCACATCCAAAAAAGCAAACTCATGATCCACACTCTCATTTCCCAAATTCGGAACATACTGAAACTTCTTCTTCACCAATTTCGACCCCGTACCGCCAATCTCAATCCCCCGAAGACTCTCCAGAACCGAAAACCCCTCTATTTCAGCATCACCGTAGCGTCCCCAGGCCTCAAAGCAATGAATCAAGCGAGCCCTCTGGATGTGAAAGGAGTAGGGTTTACAGGACAACTGAGAAGAGATAAGTTACAAGCAATTCAAGCAGAGCTTGTAAGTGGTGAACAATTGGAGAGCGAGTTGGGGGTCGAGTTTGGGGGTTTCGGAGAGGCGTTTGGGGATTAGAGAGAGGGAGCGATTGAGGAAGGAGAGGAACTTCTTGGCGAGAGATCAGAAGGAGGATTGGTGGTCTTCGGCGGCGGCGTTTGATGGTTTTTTGGATCTTTTGGGCTTGGTGGTGGTGGTGAGATCAGTGAATGGCCTAAGTAATCGAAGAAGAGGTGGTGGAGGTGGTGGAGATCGAAGGATTAGAGTTTGGAGATGAGAGCGGACTCGGCGTCGGAGTCCATGGATGTGGTGGTTGTGGAGAGAGAGAGAGAGAGAGAGAGATTAGAGACGAAGCAGGGGAATGAAGTGAAATGTATGGGCGCCAATGTTGCCCCGCCTAATGTCCAGTTCAAAGTAGGCTCGAATGTATGTATATAGGCAAAGGAAAATGTCTCATAGTTCAAATTTGGTGGCTTAAAAGTGGTTTAAATGGCCAAAACGACATCGTTTTGGCCATTTTTATGTTGTTCTGTACTTAAAACGACGTCGTTTTGGCCATTTGAGCCACTTTTAAACCACAAAATTTGAACTACGTAGCATTGCCGATAGGGAAATTCTACTTTACACTCCCGTCATACGCTCCCAAATATGTATTTTTTTTAAAAATAAATTATGATCGATTTTTTTTTTCATGAAATTTTTGATTATATTTTATGTGTTATTTAATTATAATTTTTTTACTTTTAGTTATAATTTAAAAAATATGAAATTGTATTTTTTTTTTAATTATAAAGTGTATACGATACACACCATTTGAGAGATATATTACAGTCTTTCTCATGTATATAATATTGTGATTTTTCTTTTTTTGCATATTGTTTAAAAAAAAAATTATTCTCAACAATCCTTATTAAAAATAATAGTTGTGTTAATTATTTTAGTTACCTTTTTACTATAGATTTATATTTAGGATGATAGTTTTTTTTAAAAAAATTGATTTCATGGTTATGAGAGAATAATTAAATTAATTATAATTTGGATATAATATTTTATATTATTGACTATTTTAACTTATTTTTATTTTTATCAACTATTTTAGCCAAAATCCAACTTTTCAAACCCGCCATTGTTAAAACATTTTATTTTTCAAATCAATATAAATTGAAAAATGAAATTTTTAAAAGAAGTTTATAACAAAGTACATATATTTTTGCTCCCTTTTTTTTTTAGGACACTCGGGCCTTGTTTGGGAATAGATTATTTTAGTAATTTTTTAACTTTTTGACTAAAATATGAGGTAAAAAAATTAGTATGCTTAGAATGAATTTTTAGTTTTTATGAAAAGACGCGCAAAAAATGAAGAGAAAATAGAATCTTTGATTTTTTAGTAGATATTATAGATTTTTTGATTTTTTTAATAACTTTTGACTTTTAAACTAAAATAGGCACATGCCAACCGAGGCCTCAGTCTAAAAATCAAAATTGCAACTTTGTTTACTCAAAAATTCAAGAATTAAAACACTTTGTCCATAAGAATAAACTCAAACAAAATGACTAAAACACCCTCTCTCTCTCTCTCTCTTTATATATATGTGTGTGTGTGATATATCCAAACCACACTATCGCTTGGTTTGGAAAGTGGGTTGCCTTTTTTATTTTTTGACTTTTTTAGCTATTTTAGCCTGGGGCTAAAAAGCCTGGTTTGGAAAGGGCTTTGGCTTTTCTACTTTTTTTATGAAAGAAAAAATATAATAATTATGGGTTGGATATGATGTTTTATCTTATTGGGGCTAAAAAACCTATTTTGTTTTTTGTGGCTATTTTAGTCCCAAACCCACTTCTCAAACAATGCCTATAAAGATCAAAACACTCTCTCTTCTCACCTCTCTCTATCTTCCCCTCTCTCTTCTCTCCAACCTCACCGTTGTCTCGCCTCGCCTCTCATCGTCGTTGTCTCCACCAACCCCACCACCCCCACCACCGTCTGCACTACTCTCTCTTTGTTCACCTTCACCGTACACAGCTTGTATAGCGTTAATATCGTCGATCTACCTCGTGTGACTCGGATCTCACTCATTCTTCGTCGTCCACCGCCACCGCGAAGCCCTAATGATGAAAAATCATGGTCGTCATCATCATCAACATTCCAATGATGATCTAGCACTACCGTCTTCACCACTCCAACTCCGCCGTCCGCTTTGGACCTCCTCACGATGCCAATGATCTGGTCCCTAAGAAATGGCATCGACATCGATGTATATATTCATCTTGAAGCTAAACATTTCTATGTATACATAAATTCATCGATGTATATATATTCATATAGAGCACAAGCGAAGATCTGAACAGTAGTCATAGATATATTCATATATTCATAGATCTGTTCATATATGTTTAAGCAATGAAGATCTTCGCTTCTATGTATATATTCACAGATTTTGAACAGATTCTTAGATATATTTTTCAGATCTATTATGTGTTTTGTGTTTTTTTTTAAATCTATTTTTTAGATTCTTAGAGCTATTTTTTTATCTGTTCAAAATTTTGTTTTGTGTTTTGTTTTGTTGGTGTAAAACTGGATTTTATCTAATACTCTAATATGGTATTAATTTTGTACTCTAATATGGTACAAAATTAGAGTGCTCTTAGGTCGACACTCCATGTACTCTCTCTCTCTCACTTCTGTACTCTAATATGGTATTAATTTTGGTTTGTTTTCTTTGATGCAGATTGTTGCCTTGCGTTTTGGTGGCCACTAGCAGTGAGGTGGGGGCGAAGGAGAATCTGTGTGAGAGAGAGAACAATCTGATTTGTTTAAACAGAGAACAGGCGGGGACAATTGGTTTCCCTCTTAAATTTTCACACATTTGGCGACAAAAGTAGTTTTTGGTCAGCAAATGTTAATAATCGTTGACTAAAATTTTGTTGTAGCCAAATCTTAATTAACGGCAAAAGTTTTTGGCGACCAAAATTTTGGTCGCCAAAGAGAAAAAATAATTTTTTATTTTCCATTCTGCGACTAAATAGTTTTAGTAGCCGAAACTCAATATACGACGACTAAAATATTTTTAATCGCTGAAAATAAGTTTTTGGTGACCAAAACCAAAGATTAAAAAAAAATTATTTTCCATTCGGCGACTAAATAGTTTTAGTTGCCAAAACTCAATATATGACGACTAAAATATTTTTAGTCGCTAAAAATAAGTTTTTTGGCGATCAAAATTTTGGTCACCAAATGATAAAAAATAATTTTTTATTTTCCATTCGGCGACTACATTGTTTTAGTAGCCAAAACTCAATATACGACGACTAAAATATTTTTTGTCGTTAAAAATAAGTTTTTTGGCGACCAAAATTTTGGTCGCCAATTCCACAACCAACTTCTTTTTGATCTTCTGTGACCAACTTATTTTTTGGTCGCCAAAATGTGATCTTTCGCGACCAAATTTGTAGTTGGTCGCCAAAACCATACCACTTTCTGCAACCAACTCATTTTTTGGTCGCCAAAATATGACCTTCTGCGACCAACTCATATTTGGTCGCCAAAAATAATGATCATTCGCAACTAATTAATATTTGGTCGCCAAAAGGTAACCTTTAGCTACTAACTTTTATATTGGTCACGGAAAGTGGTCGCTAAAAGTGCAGATTCTTGTAATGAAATGCGATTCTTAATACATCAACACTAGGTAGTACCACCTGTCCCTTCAAAGATTGCAAATTGTAATTCTTTAATACAGTGTGTTTTTCCTCAGAACATTAGGTAGTACCACCTGTCCCTTCAAATGTTGAAAACTACAATTCTTAATACAGTGTATTTTTCCTCAAAACATTAGGTAGTACCACCTGTCCCTTCAAAGGTTTCAAACTCTACAATTAGGGGTGTAAATTTGGTCCGGCCACCTGGGCCTGAGCTAGGGCTGGCCCATGTCGAGCCTTGCGAACTCCTGTCAAAATTTGGGTTCGCCTGCAGGCCGGAAAATTAGGTCCATGGGGTATTCGGGCCTTAGACGGACCGGTGAGCCTGGGTCTGGACCTAAGCCTGAGTAGGGCTTGAATAATTTTTTTATATTTTTTTCACCAAATTTTTTTTTTTTTTCACAAAAAATGACACTAGGCCTCGGTGCGGGTCAATCCTTGGACCGGGCCTGAGCTAGGGCTGGCCCATGTCGAGCCTTGCGAACTCCTGTCAAAATTTGGGTTCGCCTGCAGGCCGGAAAATTAGGTCCATGGGGTATTCGGGCCTTAGACGGACCGGTGAGCCTGGGTCTGGACCTAAGCCTGAGTAGGGCTTGAATAATTTTTTTTTTATTTTTTTCACCAAATTTTTTTTTTTTTCACAAAAAATGACACTAGGCCTCGGTGTGGGTCAATCCTTGGACCGGGCCTTGTGCGGGCCGATGAGTTGGGTCACGGGTCGACCCAGGTGAGCCAAGCCCACATACTGGGTTTCAAAATGATGACTTAGGCCCAGGGTCCTAGGCTTCGCTCAGGCTTGGGCATAATTGGGTCGAGTCCACCTCGAGCCGCAGGTCGGCTTCGGGCTGTCCATGGGTCACGGGCCATTTTTACACTCCTATCTACATTTAGGGCTGTGCAAAATATCGCCAAATTCGCTAAAACCGCATAGATCCGCATCGCTCTAATCGCTAATTGCGGTTTAAATTTTAAAATTTATAATCTGCCAACCAAACCGCTCCGCTCCGCTACAGTTAATACATATATATTTTTTAACCTCCAATGAAGTATCAATGTAAAAATGAGTGTGAGATAGATTTAAGATATGAAATTTTTTACAAATTAGTGGTTATACATATGAAACATATTATGTAAAATTACTTTGTACTATATATCTAAAAAATATTATACAAATTAGTGTTATATATTATGCAAATATATGATAATTAGTTAGAATATTCTTCAATCCGTCAATCCTTCAAAAACTGCTCAAATCGTAATTTGTCAATCCGCTAATCTGCCAACCCGCAATTCGATTTATAATTTTACTCTCAAACGTCCACGCCGCGCTGTTCACACCCCTATCTACAGTCCTTCATGTGGTCATGTTTGGCAAAGGTTTTTTTATTTTTTTCCCCTTGTTTTTTGAGTTAAAATTCATAAAAAGATAAAATAGATTAAAATAATTAATAAGACAAAATATCACATCAAATTTATAATTGTTTAACTTTTTCTCTCATAAATATCACATCTAATTATAAAAAAAAAATCAACTATCTTTCTAAATATAAAATAATTTTAACCTACTAAAATTTTTGAGAAGATAGTTAAAAGCCATCTTTCAATTTTTAACTCATTTTGGGTCACATAATCTCTCATATTTTTTACACATTTTTTTAAAAAAAAATCAAAAAAATTAATTTTTATTAAAATTTACCCATAAGTCCTAGTTTTTGAAACGTTGAA